GGTGAGCACTGCCCTCTGACCCCCAGGCCCTGGGCCCTCACAGTCTGCGGGTGAGCAGTGCCCTCTGATCTCTAGGACTGCAGAACGGAGGATGAATCAGATGATCGGTTAGGATGTTTGCAGAGTGGCCCCCAGAGCTTGTTGGGTGACAGGTGTCCAGGGTCAGCGAAGGGCTGGTTTGGTAGGACAGAGAACCAGTAGGTCAAGGCTGTCTCTGGGACTGTGTGAGTCGCTCAGGATACTGTGTGTTTTGAGGAGCCTGGAGGAGGATGGTGGGCTAGGGAACCTTGTGCTAGGGAAAGAGCCTTGGCGGGAGCTTGAGCAGTGGCTCATGAAGCAGAGGGCTGAATGCTAGTACTCAGCTCACCTCCTCCTTTTTCTTCAGGCTGGGACCCCAGCTCATGGGGTGGTGTTGCCCGAGCTTACAGTGGGGCTTCCTATGTAGCTAGTCTGTTCAAGAGCCCCCCTTACAGTAGAGATTTGCAGAGATAGGCTCATCCAGTGATTCTCACCTCATCAAGTTGACAGTTAAAATCAGCCAGCACAGAGGCAAATGCAGTTGTGAGGCACAGGAGAGCTGAAGCATTTTGCAAAGGAGCCGTGATGAGTTCTGTGCAACACAGCAGGGCAGGAACATCTGGCCGAATCTTTTCTTTTTCCTTTGCCTGTTTCTGCTGCCCGGTATAATTGCTGAAGATGGTTGCTGTTCTTTGAGGCAGCGAACAAACCTCAGTGGAAGACAGCTCTGTGAGAGGATGCAAAGCCAGCCATCAGGAGCTTGTGGTGGGTGCTCGGAGAATGCTCCCCAGACTTCCCGCGGGAGGCTGTGAGGAAGATGAGCAGACTTGAAACCGTGTGCAGAGGGTGTGCGGGCACCTTCGTGTGCCCTGGGATGGGCAGCATTTCCTAATAGTTGACACAGTTACTGACCTTCCAAGTACTCTGTTATAAAGGAGGTGCTGCAATGAAAGGGGGGCAGCCTGCCGTCTGTCTGAGGAGCTAGGAAGTTTATTCAAATATAAACATTAAAAATCCACAGATTTGATACTCTCCTTAATTAAGGAGGTCAATTAAAATTAGCTCACAATGAAAAGAAGCCAGTTTGCTGCTAATATTAAATTGGTACAAATAGCCTGCATTTCTGAAGGATTTAAAGAACTTACAGGATTTGACACAGTGTCCCTCCTAGCCTGGCACAAGGCCGGGAAGCTGAGGACGCTGCTCCACTCCCAGACCTCATTCTTTATTCATTGTGTTTGCTGAGCCTGGCACAGTGCAGATACTGCTGACGCAAGGTGAATAAAGACCCTTTTCCTCCCTTAGAGAGGGAGAGAGGCATTAGCAAAAGCTACAAGGGGCCAGGCGTCAGAGCTGGAGCACAGTTCAGGACACACAGTGTCACAGAGCAGAGGCTGTCAGGAACAAGGAAAGACAAATCAGCAAGTGGCAGAGTTGGTGCAGGGGGAGACGTTATAAAACAGTCGTGGGTGGGGGAGAGTGCAAGCCGCCTGTGAGAGTGGAGAGTGCGTGCGGAGGTACCGGGGGTGGGGGTAGGAGGGTGGTGGTGATGGTGGTAAAGAGAGGGGGCAGGGGTGAAAGGTCCCATGGTTAACTGGGGATTTGTTTAAAAATTGTGGGGTGACAACACAGTCAGGTGCGTGTGTTAGGAAATTTCTTGGTTCAGGGGGTGTGCTGTTGAGCAGGGTGGACCTGAGAGGGAATGGCAGTGAAGGAAATGAGGAAACCTCCTCGAAGAAAGGATGAGGACCCAGACAAGCAGAACGTGGCTGCACGGAGGTGCCGGTCAAGAGTTTCTCCAGGAGCCATGGCCATTGGTGCCATTTGAGCATGAGCAGCCTGCCACGTGTTACCACAGCTCATGCTGAGGCCAGGTGGAGACAGCTTAATAGCTGAGTTACTTGATGCCTTAGTTACTGTTCTGTTGCTGAAGAGACACCATGCAAACAAATGGAAGAGTTTATTGGCCTCACAGTCTCAGAGGGTGAGTCCAAGGCCGTCAGGCGACGAACATGGCAGCAGCACGGTGCTACAGAAGTAGCTGAGAACTCACACCTGATCCACAAGCAGGAGGCAGGGGAGCAGGGCACACACATGCTAACTAGGCATGGCGTGAGCTTTCGAAATCCCAGCCTACCCCCAGAGACACAGCTCTTCCCACAAGGTTACACCTCCTAATCCTTCCCAAACAGTTTCAGTATAGATGGTTATGAGCTACCATGTGATTACTGGGAATTGAACTCAGGACCTCTGGAAGAGCTCTTAACAGTGTTATTAACCTCTGAGCCATCTCTCCAGCCCCTAAATGAATGTCTGGTTCACACTGAGGTCAGAAGAGGACCAGATTCCTGGTGTTAGAGTTATGAGCGGTTGTAGGGGCTGGGAACTGAACCCTGGTCCTCTGCATGAGCAGTGGGTGCTCTGAGCCACTGAGCCATTGTTTCAGCCCTGGTTTCAGAAATTTATCTGTGTGTGATGGTAACTACTGTTCAGCAGTTTGGATTGTACCAAACAGTTTCACAAGGTGCAGAGGAAGCACTCAAATGCATGAGCCTCTGGGGACCATTCACGTTCAAATCGCCACACTTGGTGTGGCCCACAGCCTCACAGACAATTAAAACCATGGCAAGGAAACAAGAGCAATGTGCCTCATCGTCATCTACTTTTCTTAAGTTTAGGTCACACGGGAAGTTGTCAGGGATCTGGGTGTAGGTCAGTGGTAGGATCCCCACAAGGAAGCACACTCACATCAACACTGTCTCACACATTTGCATAGACACATACACTTCATACATCTGCCCCATCATGCATAACCACACGCACACACATGCACATAGAAACACTAACAAATACCACACACACGGCACACATACTCACACTGACATACATACTCACACACCAACTCACATACTCTATACACAATTTCACAATTCACATACAACACACATACATACTACTCCACACCCCACACAGCTGTACAGACACATCTATACTCACATACAACTATACTCAGACACACATTCACACAATGACATCACACCTGCAAACACACATTTACAGTACTTATACACATACACCCGTAATATACACACAGTTCTCACACTTGACATACAGAAACAGTCCGCACACATGTATACACACAGAAATATTTTTTATTTTTATAATTTTTATTTTTTATATTAATCACAGGTTATTTACTCAGAACTATTGATATACACTCAGTCACAGACACATTCGTGTCTACTCATATTCCACACAGACTACAGATTCACCCACCTGCGTTCAGCACACACGCTTGCATATACTAATGCTCACGCCTTCCTGCAACGATCCTGACACCCAGAATGGCATACACTCACCCTTAGTATGCAAGTGTGCACGCATGTACACTCCACACCCCACATACATATGCCCACGGGCACACAGAGACAGTTGGAATACGCTCTCACACGATACACAAATGCACACACACTCTCTCAGACCCATATACACATTAGCGCACATATACTTCACACACATGCTACATACTTACGCACACATACAGATTCACACATTCACACGCATTCATAGCCATACATCGCCCACATTGCCCTCCACACGTACACATCAGTACACCTGTCATACAGTTCACAGTCAAATGTTACACACGTGCACACAGACACTCACATACACTCACTCGTACAGATGCACACACCCACACCCCTCACACACGCACACAGTCACACAGAGTGCACTGGCATGTTCTCATGCACACATTCGCACACACATGACCAATGCTGGGCAGCTGGAGACTGGCGGCCCCTAGGCTCTTCTGGCTGAATCGGTTCAGTAAGAGACCCTGTCTCAAAATGTATAAGGGGAGAGCCATTGAGGAGAGCACGTAATGTCAGCCTCTGGCCTCCACACAGATAGGCCACACATGTACATATTATACATGAAACACACAGATGCACAGAGGGGGGAGGTGGAAAGAGGAAGGGAGGAGGAGGGAAAAAAGAAGAGAGAGAGAGAGAGAGTGTGAGAGAGAGACAGTGTTTGGGGATTCCCAACCTTTTAGTGGTACAGGCCCCCTAAATTCTAGTCGTGTGATGATTCTCCAGGCCCGTGGGACTTCTTACTGTGACTCTAATATGCTCTTCAGCCAGACTTTACACATCCACGTGGTCTTTCCATGTGTGTTGCCTTCTGCTGGCCGTGTCTCTCTCCTGTGTGTCTGACACAGCTGCCTTCTTGGAAACAAAGTTTCTTCTGAAGACTTCTGCTTGCATACCTGTGTCCATCACTTTCGTCTTTCCCCACTTAGCTAGTTCTGCACTTGGGCTCTTTCTTTCTTTCTTTCTTTCTTTCTTTCTTTCTTTCTTTCTTTCT